GGCTGTGGTGTGGGCGGGTGTGAGCCGGCTGGGGTGTGGGCGTGTGTGAGCCGGCTGTGGCCTGTGCGGGTGTGAGCTGGCTGTGGTCTGGGCGGGTGTGAGCCGGCTGTGGCCTGGGCGGGTGTGAGCCGGCTGTGTGGCCTGTGCGGGGTGTGAGCCGGCTGTGCACTCTGCCTCCTCGTGCTTCACTCGGAGTAACGACCAACCACTGTGTGCGCTGAGGTCACTGACTGCGGGGGAGAAAGGAGCGGACCTCCATGTGGTGCTCTGCTGGGAGATGTGCTTTCCTGACTACAAGCCCCACTCATTTCCGACACTCGAGTCTGACCGCGTCCCGCTTGGGGCTGTCCTGCCAGACCCGTGAGCAAAGGAGGCGGACACAGTTGAGAAGAAGGCAAGTCTGGCAGTGTCTCTCACATTTCTATGAGGTCCAAGTCAGGGGCCTCTGGTTCCATGGTGGAAAATATCATAACTCCCACCAGCTCATCTTTCTCGGCCTTCCTCTTCCCAGTTTTCCATTCCTGTAAATGGGAGGGTCATGAGTTAAACTGATCTTTCAAAATCCCCTGGTAGAACCGGCTCACTGATCATCTCCACCTTTCTAATTCTCAGGAAGCAGCTCCCCGCCATCTCCCTCTGCACCGTGGGCCATGGCCTGCACATCTCAAATGCCATCTCATGTGGCCAGTGCCCTCCCCAGCATGGTCTCTGAGCGCCCAAGCCCTTCCTGAGGTGGCTCAGCCACTGTCCCTTTCCCAACCGCTACCAACGCAAACACAGGGAGCAGAAACACAACCTATGAATTCTGACAAAGTGCCTTAAATTTTTAGGCTGTTTAGTTCTAAAAAAGGTTAACGCTTTTCTAAAATATAAGATAGGAACCAGTATTATGGGCTAGTTTTAAAAACATATTATTGCAATATATATATAACATATATACACATACATACAGAAAAATGCCCCATGCATGTAATTCCCACAAAGTAAATTCCTGTGTAACTACCACCAAGACGGGGGGAAAGCTAGCATCCCAGAAGCCTTCTCATGTCCCTTCACCACTCATCGCCACCCTTCTCTTCCCCACAAGTTAACCATTACCCTCTCTTTTTTATGGTTGTCATTTCATCACTTTTCTTTCGAGTTTTGCCACCTAGGCATGAGTCCCTAAACTATAGTTTTCCTAGTTTGTTTTAACTAGCAAAGAACTCTACATTTTTTGTGTATCTGGCTTCTTCGGCTCAACCTGTGTATGAGCCACATTCACACTGTTGTTATAGCTAAACAATATTCCCTTATATGAACACTCCCCATTCATTTATCCATCCTATGACGGGTAGTCACCCTGGCCCCTGCCAAATTATGAATGAAGTTGCTGTGTGTGTGTGTGTGTGTGTACATATATATACATGTATATATTCACACACACACATGAATTTCTGTGAGGTATAGGAGTGGAAAATTGTTCCGCTTTAGATAATATGAAACTGTTTACCAATCCTCACACCCACCAGCAGTGTGTGAGCCCAGTAGCTGCTCATCTCACTTTTCAGACTTTCTAACTTTAGCCTTTCTGGTGAGTATGTAGTGGTATTCACTGTGGTTTAATTTGCATTTCCTTGATTACAAATGAGATTAAGTACTGTTCTAAACATTTGTTTAGGATTCAGATACTTTCTTTTGGGAAGTCTTTAATCAAATCTACAATTTTTCTGCTGGGTTAATTACCTTATCTTTTTGTTTGGGTTTTCATATATTTTAAAATCCAGCCCTTGGTTGATCATATTTGTTCATATCTTAGTTTGTTTTTCACTTTTAATGGCTTCTGATGATAAACAGAAGTTTTTAGTTTTAATGCAATCTAAATTTCTAAAAAATCCAAATTTCTTCCTGTATGGTTAGCTGTTTTTGTCTTATTTCAGAAGCCTTCCCTTCTCTGGGGGAATGAAGCTATTCTCCCATGTCACCTTCTAGAAGCTTTATTGGTTGCCTTTCACATTTAAACCTCAGAATGATCTGGAATTGATTTAAAACTTCATACAATGGAAACTTCCAAACATATACAAAGGTAGAGAGAAAGAACAATAAGCCCCTACAAGACTCAGCCCTCAACAATTATTAAAAATTTACCAATTTTGTTTTATCTAGTCTACCAGTTTTCTTGCTTACTTAAATGGAAATCTCAGATATAAGGCCATATTTTAAAAACATAACCACCATGCCGTCAACCCTAGCAAGATCAACAGTGCATTATTATGAGGTGGGAACCATGTTTCATTTCCCCCAGTGGTGCCATCTAAGGCAGTGTTCGCCAGCCTTTCGGACTGCACGGACCACCAGCGGTCTGCGGACCAGCAGTTGGTGACCGCTGATCTAATGGACTCAGCACCATTTACTGAAAATACTGTCCTTCCCCCACTGAATCAGCATCCTCTGCGTCAGATGTAAGTGTCCATTCTGTTCTGTTCTGCTGGTCTGTCGTCTTTCTTTATGCCACTTCCTTGCTTCTGAAATTCTTTTCACTCTACAGTGAGTCTTGATATCTAATAAAGTCCTCCTCCCATTTCATTCTTTTTCAAGAATATCTTGGCTATTCTTAGTGCTTTGATTTTCTACATATGACATCTTTTCAATCCATGAAAGATAATGTTGGAAAATTTATTTAAGTCTTTTTCTTTTTCTCAACAGTGTTCCATAGTTTATGTTGACCTTTTGTAAATTTCTTGTATTTACTCCAAGAAATTAGATACTTTTCATGCTGTTGAAATGATAGTTCTTTACTTTCATTTTGTTTATTGCCAATAATATATACAAATATGCAATGTCTTACTTATATCCAGCTATCTTACTACTTATTTCTAGTAATTTTTCTGTAGATTCATTGGAATTTTCTGTATCCATCCATCTACATGAGTTATTGACTACAAAAATCAGTTTTTAATGATTGTCTCTCCCTTCCTTTCTAATATCAATTTTTAAAAAATTGACCTGACCATAAGAAAAAATAAATCATTCTCTCTGTTTCCCTCACTTCATGCTGGTAATATCCTGCATAGTGTGGGTTCTATCTTATTTTTAGCATTTAGGAACCATTCCTCACCCTCGCCCGTCCCTTGCCCCATCTACTCCGGGCCAATCTGTTCTCCACATATGGAAAACCATCCCGGCAGTTCTTTCAGACTTTGTGACTAATTTCCTATCGCTTGAGTTTAGGTTTCTATCCCTATTGTCTGTAGAGAAAATCAGAAATAACCATCCAACTGACAAAATTTTAACTCCTTTCAGACATAAAATTGATGTGAATATGACAGTTATCAAATACCTTTTCATCCCGGAAAGTTAGAAACTGCTGGAAAACCTCGCTTTCTGAAATTACCGGATGCCGACACATCCTGGTCATCCATGCCTGCAGTCTCTCCATGCGCATTTTGATAAATTCTTCTTCAAAGCGACCTGCAAGGAATGCGCCCAGACGATGTACCACTTTGTCGAAAAGCTGTTTATTCAGCTAATGGCTACTTGGTGGAAAGTTATTAGTAAAAGGTAAAAAATGGAGATTTTCACTAACCTAAATACGGGCAACAGCTCTAGCACATACCTCAGATGCAGGCCTGATCCCTGGCCCTGGTTGGGGCTTGTGTGGGAGGCAACCGATTGATGTGTCTTTTCCACATCAATGTTTCTCTCTCTTTCCTTCCCTTTCACTTGCTCTAAAAATCAGTGGAAAAATATCTTCAGGTGAGGATTCACAAAAAATAATATAAAGAAAAATAAAAACAGGTAACATACTGAATGCCCAAAGACCCACAGGAATGATCAACAGACTTTTTCGTTTATAAGAATGAGATTGCAATGTAACACGTCAACAAGCCTTTAACTGTGACAAGAATATTACAACCTCAAAGTGCTATTTTCCTCAAGGCTCCCTAAAGTATTTAAAAATTTAAAGTAAATCTTACTTCAATATGAAAAACCTCTTTCTTATAAAGTAATATGTGGCCATAGTAAGTCCTATTGACAAGAAAGAGGTAATACTGTTGAATTTAATAAGTAATTCTTACAAAAGTATATGAAATTTCTCTATTTATAAAAATGTGACCAATGCAGTATAATCTTAGATATACAAATTTAAGTTTAGTACTTATGCAAAGTAACTCAGGACTGTAGCTTCCCCCCACCCCATATTATTTTTTAAGTTATTTAAACTGAAAATAGAAAAAGCAATTTTTCCATGAATGCAATAATGAAAGCTGCCATTTTTATAAGCCTACCAAACAAAACCACTATCAGTTAAAAGGCTTCTGGCAATGGAAATTCCAGCTACAAGCAAGGCAAGCAGCTAACCCAGTCCCCCCAAATAACTAGAAACCCAGACAAGCAAAACAATCAGCGCTCTGGAAATCCACCGAAGGCCAACAGCCATCTGAGAAATGCCTGTTTGCAGCACTGCCATACTTTAGGCAAAAACAGTAGAAATCTGTGGCGTCTGGCTTGTGGCTGCTCCTGTCTCCCCTGCTGCCCCCACCCTCCCATCTCTACTTGGCCGACATGGGGCTTCTGCCAGGAGGGAGCAGGGTCTGGAGCGTGGGAGATGCCCATGCCAGGTGGGGGAGCAGTGACAACCCAGAGGCTGGTGAACAGGGAGGGCAACCGCTCCACTAGCCGAGTTACGAGGTTGAGCCGAGACTTTCCAGGTGAGGCTGGGTGCAGAAACGGGGAGGCCTGCTGGGGGCCAGGCCAGGCACGCACTCCAGCCAACCTGAGGCTACACACACGGGAAGGAGTCACGAAAGGGGCCTCGGAAAAGGAAAAACCAGGGCTCACTTGAAAAGGACCCGAGCTTTGTATTTGCTTCCCTCCTCACTCACAGGCCCCTTGGCAGAGGGCAGGCGCCAATGGCCTGAGGCAGGCTCACCACCAAACTCACAGACACAGGTGAACCCTAGGAAGCCACACTTAAGAAATAAAGTAAAATAAAACCGAGCTGCAGGAGAGACAGATCTCAGAGATTTAGCCTAGGCAAGTTACTTGTAACAATCAATCAATCAAACAAACAAACCAAAGCAGAAACAACTTTCAAAGAGAAAAATCATTATCTAGAATTATTAAAATATATTCTCCAAAATTTCAGTTTTCAACAAAAATTGAGAGATTTCAAAGAAATAGCAAGGTGCCGAAACCGGTTTGGCTCAGTGGATAGAGCGTCGGCCTGCGAACTGAAAGGTCCCAGGTTCGATTCCGGTCAAGGGCATGTACCTGGGTTGCGGGCACATCCCCAGTGGGGGATGTGCAGGAGGCAGCTGATCGATGTCTTTCTCTTATCGATGTTTCTAGCTCTCTGTCTCTCTCCCTTCCTCTCTGTAAAAAATCAATAAAATATATTAAAAAAAAAAAAAAAAAGAAATAGCAAGGGATGAGCCATATGAGGAAAAAAAGTAGTCAAGAGAAAATGTCTCTAAGTGTTCCCAGATGTTGATTTCACAACAAAACCAAAACAACATAGAAGCCTCTATAAATATGTTCAAAGAACTAAAGGAAGCCACGTTAAAAAAAAATTAAGGAAAAGTATGACAAGGAATCAACAAATGGAGATTCGTAAGAAGACTGAAATTATAAAAAAGAATCAAAAATTTTGGAGTTGAAAATACAATAACTGAAATTAAAAATTTACTGTAAGGTTTAAATAGTAGATTCAAGATGGCAAAAAAATGAGTGAATCTGAATATAAATAAACAGAAGTTATTTAATCTGAAGAACAGAGAGAAATACAACTAATGTAAAATGAACAGAGCCTCAGAAAACATCAAACAGACCAACATTCTCATGATGGGAGAACCCAAAGGAGAAGAGAAAGAAGAAAAAAATATCTTAAGAAATAATGTGGGAAAATTCCCCAAATTTGATGGAAAACTTCAATTTACACTTCCTAGAAGCCCAACAAACCCCATGTAGGACAAATATAAAGAATCCACACCAAGATATAGCAGACTCAAACTGCTGAAAGACAACAGAAAAATTTGAAAGCAGCAAGTGAAAAGCAATTCATCATTTATGGTGGGTATGCGTGTGTGTGTGTGTATCATGGTGTGGACAGCACCTGTACATGAAAGCACTTCAGATTCTGCACTTGCTAGGGGTAGAGATTCAGTACCACATAAGCTTAGGCTGTGCAGAAACAGCCTCATCTGTCGGATATAAGGGGGGACAGAAAAAGACCCGATAAATCAGCATAGACCTCAGTTATACCGACTCCCCAGGATGACCAAGTGAATTACACCAAGAGTTCACAGCCTACGCACGGATTGATTCTTATTCTTCCGGAAAATTTCTGACATAGCTGGTGTATTTCCAAATAATTTCAGGTGTTATTTTGTGCTTGGTAAGATTTTTATAGCAGGTGTCAGAGAATTTAGGGGAAAGGGGGGGGGGAATTCCCCCTTTCCCATTTTTAATAACCTTACTTAGGTTTTCACTAAGCATGTGAACATACCAGTTTTGCACCCAGGAGTAAAGTCAGATTCATTCAATATTATTTCACAAAACCCCAAATCTATGAACAAATGAAAAATGGTAGCTGTAGGTTTTTCAGGGACAGCTCAGCAAGTCCACAGAAATGTGGTGACATCACATGCTGGCATTCCTATTGTCCTCCAGGCTGAAGTGAAAGGGGAGTTGGTTGACACAGTAATGATCCTGTGGCATCGGGGCAGGAGGGAAGCAAGAGGAGGGAGAGAGACAGTGGCTTCTGTGCTGTGCAGTTTCCTCGGCATGTCTCCCAGGCAGCGAACCAAAGCTTAGCTCCCTGCACACGACGGCGTTGCTTTCTGCTTTTCTGTGACATCCCCCTGGCTTTGGGCCTGAACTTTTCTTTAAAAAACCCCATACAAACCTTAATATGGAAACAGAACCATGACTTCACGATGCTTTAAAATAGCAGAGTTATCTGATTTAGACTAAGCAATGTATTAAAACCTAAGTGATCTGAAAATTCCTCAGCCCTAAAATAACTCAGTCCACTTATTTCACATATTGGGCCAGTCAAGTTGATAAAGGAGAGTAAACATTCAGGAAACGAACTGAAATTGGAAAATATGGAGAAAGGCAGACTGAAGTTTTCATGGAAAGAAATTTAAAATTTTAAAAAGCAAGCTGTGATTTAAAGCAATAGGATAAGAAAAGGAGGACTAGTGAACTGTGAACCGGGCACAGAACGAGGGGTACAGCGACCCCTCCGAGTGGAAGGAGGCAGCAATGCACACCAGCCTGGCTACCTGACCTGGCTTCCAGTGGACTGCGCCCCGCCCCCAAGGGGCTGCTCAGGGTCACCGGATGATGACGCGGTTTATGGGCCGGGCAATGCAGCCCAGCCCCACTCCCCATTCTGCTGTGACAATTTGAAACTTTTGAAAATTAAAAAAAAATAATCAAAATCCAAACAACTTTTTAAAAACATGTTTCCATCTCCTCAAAACCCTCAGAGAAACAGAAAACAAAGTACAAGGTAATGTTTTAAGGAGAACAAACTTCTTACCCTAAGGTTCCTAACTCTAACTAAGATCAGGTGGTCCGCATCTCATAATGTTAAACAGCGAGCTTTGGAATGATTCCGATTCCAATGCTGGGCAGGGCGTGCTCAGCCTTTCTGGGACAGCACGGTGACGGGTCTGGGCACAGAGGCCGGCACGGAGGGAGACACTGCACTGCAGCCCTGAAGCATCCTGGGCCGCTCTGCCATTGGCTGGTAGGAGTCTCAGTTCCTCTCTAAACCATTTCTCTCAACTCTCCAGGGTGAGGATTGAACCATCTGGTCTTCTCTGACACCCGGGAGAGGACCTTCCTTTGCAGACTCCCGTTCTGCTCTCTGGGCTGAGGTTAGCCTGCTGCTGCCGTCCCTTCTCTCAGAGGCTCTCTACCTCGAACCTTTAGGCCGTGCTCTCATCTCTGATCCTTTCCTTTCTATACTTACTAGTTCCATTTATTGGAAAAATTCCTACCCACATACTAAAACTCTTTCCAATCTTTAGTCAAGCCCAGCTTCTTTACAAGCTTTTATTCTAAGAAAAACATAACGAGTCCTGAGTGCTAATTTTTCAGGTTTTATACTAGGAGATAAAAAAATCAATGACAGTTTCAAAACAGACACAGAAATCCTTCCCGACGGCACGTTATTAGGGGCTCTGGGAGCACACAGACTCCTGACCAGATTACTTGGGGCAGGGCAAGGGGGAAAAATGACACCTTAAATAAGTAAGAAAAAGCTGAGGGCTTCTCAGCGATAAATAAGAACATTTCACTATAAACAGTCACCTCGATAACTGGGCAGCTCCCTACCTCACAGCTGGAAGCTCTGTGGCTTCTAGCTCCGATGTCCACACACCTGGACTGCAGGAAGTGCTCACACCACAGGGTCAGAGATTTGCATTTCCACTTCAGGCTATTGGCTCATTTCTCAGGTATCATTTTAACATTCATGTACTTATTTTCTAAGAAAGGGTGTAGCAATACAGACATAACAACTTTGCCAGAATTCAGGATACGTCTACAAGAACGCTGATAGAAAATTTTATGAGCCTTTCTTGTTAGGTGCTTAGGTAACTTCCAAATACATGCGCAGTATGTACAGTGTATGCAGCTACTGTTTCCAAACTCCTACAACTGGCTCCTCTAGAGGATGGAAAATGCCATTACTGATTTACATCAGAAACTCTAAAAATGGGAAACTCTAAAAACTAGAGTCTTTGCGCTTGTCATCCTGAGTTCAGCGTCACACACTCACCTGTGACTTGCTTGTCTGGAAGAGAAGGGATTGGAATGGCTGACCCAAACTTAACCAGGAGACGTTCATATAACCAGTCAAAGTGCTTATACCTGTGGTTTACAGATCGATTAGTATTCTACAAAATAAGGGAAACAGGAGAAAAGTTACCATGCCAATTACAGAAAATGAAGAAAAAAGCCAATTCTAACTGGTGACAAGCTTTTGATAACTCCGATACTTACAGTGGGCGTTAGCTGATATTCAATGTAGCTCTTCAGCCCATACATTTTGGAGCCTTTCTTGGGATCTGCTACCACACAGTCAAAGGTAGAGGTAGGATAAACCCACATCGGGCCATAATCTCCAACCTACACAACGTTTCAGGGAGAGTTAAATTCGTTACAAGGAAAACTCGAAAATAAAATTGATGTAAGTCATCAAAGGTTCTCTTTAGGGCTGGAAGTCCTTTGGAGGGTGGCTCCTGCCCTTGTTTGAGGGTTACATAAACGTTCTCTGTTCCTGTTGAGGCTCTATTTGAAGAACACACTCGCCAGCAAATGCTTCTGTTCCTCCTCCGGGCACTCCAGGCCACGCAGGAGAGACGCCTGTGTCCCCACCTCTAGGAATGCTGGGCGGAACACAATTTTTCTCTCTCTGGTCCAGCTGTCATATATATATATATATATATATGGCTAGTATTAAAAAAGTTATCATCTCTCATGGGTTGATAGTTTGTGAAATAAAAATTATAGCCTTGTATATCTGAAAAATGTCAAATTGCCATCAAACTTTCTCATTTCTGTATACCCTGTCCTATTTCTTTTTAAGGGTGGAAGGAAGAAAAAGTGGAGTGGGGGATGCAAGTTGAGAGGCTATTAGGTCAGGATGATGACTGGGGTCCAGAGAATTTTAATAAGGGACTAGAGAGAAGATCTCTGACAACAAGTCACTCTGACTCCCCAAGTGGGAGTCCTGGTCCAGAAAACCCCTAGAGCTGCAGAGCAGGGATCTATCTCTAAGAGGAGCCTCTGGGGAACTTGCCACAGTCACAGCACCGAGAGCAATTCTGATTGACCACTGCTCACTACACATGGGTCCCGTTGTATCAGTGGGGATGCTTACTGTGCCTTAAAAGCGAAGAACCAGGTCTCTACTTTCTCTCGGTTTCCTGAAGACGAATGGTTTTCCTGGGCTTCCTTTTCCACACAAGAAGCCCACACAGGCAGCGCGCCTGCAGGGCACAGGCCAGTTCTACCTAAGACTTTTGCACACATGCTAGGGACCTTCAGCTCTATCCCACCACTGCCACTCCTGTGACAAAGTCCCCTTTGCGAATCCAAGGGCAGGGCCACGGGCTCTTAACTGTGTGGAGTTTTAAATTTAATGAAAAAACCAAACAAAAACAATGATACATGTTCAGTATTTACAAAAGGGCTGAAGAAAAAAAAGAAAAATAATTTTTAATCTAATGACGACATTAAGAATATCTGTCTTAGAATAGCTCAGAAGATAATTACCCCAAATTTGCTTTGAGGGAAGAAGGAAAAAAGGGGTCTTGGTCAGATCCCTTCTCTCTGGAGGTTTCTAGGGTTCAAAGATGTAAGAACAAGTAATAAAATAAGTCCAGCATCATTCTTGCAATTTTATCAAGTTTCCTAGGAGATTATAGAATAAGACCAGATGTTTCCTCCTCCCTGTTTGAGTGTAATGGTGATTACACTCAAAGTTCCCCATCTCGTAGTTACAGGGGTAAGTCAACAGGGTCAGAAGGTAGCCACAGTTCTCGTTTCCAGAATTTTATCTGGGAATATCAGCTATATAAAGCTTTGACAGAAAAATCTATCAGCAATCAACGTTTGGGTGAAACTAAAGAGCCGGTGCATGTGATGTAATAATCAAGTTATTATAAGACAGATATTCTTAATGGTGTCATTGCTCCCAGCTTTTATTTGCCAGCTTCTTATTATGACCTGAGAGCAGGTTTACTGGAAGAAAGACTAATTATATCAACTTAGTGGAAAAGACGCTTTATTCTGATAACATGCATGGACTTTGCCAGGCAGAAACCTAAATATTTGAATTGGGTTTATTAGCCAAATAGGTAGGGCTGGTAGAAAAACAGCATGTAAAAGATACTTCAAGACACCATACCGACAAAGAATTATTAAAAATACATATACTAAAGGGTGTTGTTGGTTCAATTACTAAATCTGAAAGGTAAATGTAAAAAATATCTAAACAATATAATGACAGGCATTAATTTATGTTGATTATCTTTAGTACTTTAAAAATACTAGCACATACTATCAGTTATTTACAACATTAAATGTGTTTAGAAACTTTCCAAATAACTAATAATCCTCTTAGCTTTAAGGCATATAAGAAAGCTTAATCAGAAACACAGCAAACAAACAAAAATGAACAAACTTACAATGATAGGAATTTTCTCTTTGGGTTTTGCTAGTTGCTTAGTCAACAAATACTGTTCCATCCCAGGTTTTGCAAATCCCGGAAATCTAATCATGAAGACAAATGTTCGTGAGTCTTATGACTTTCTTAAAAGAATTATACGGCTCTCATCCACATTTACTTAATACGACAACTTTAACCTTGTCTGTCTCGCAGATGTACTAGGACTAGGAAACTATGGTAAATGAAACCTAAATTAATCAGATTGTGTGACGGCCAATTAGTCATTTAATTAAGCTCTATCTGGTAAGAGAACAGTTTGACTCCAGAAGGTGTGATATTTATGGCACTCCATTTGCCTAACTGGACCTGAAACACTCTATCACCCCACAGAGTGAAGGGCACACCAGAAAAGTGTCCCCCATGTCACAGGAGGAGATACTACCGAGCATACCAACAGGGTAATGGCCACACCCAGCATTTCTAGATCCAAATTAAAGCTGCCTTTCCACATACTCCCTCCTCAGGGAAGCCACAATTATCCCAGAGAAGCTGCCACCGTCCATAAGCACTTGTGCTATTTTCTTTTAGAATAGACAAAAGAACCAGTTTTTGCAACATCAAAGAAAACCAGTCTTCTCAATAGTAACCGAAACATAATAGAATTGGTTACTTCCAGAAATCAAATCTAAATCCAAAGCAAATTTCTAAAATTGGAGAATAGCTGGAATACATGCAGAGCCATCCAAAGTGCTACTTCTAAGAAAGACAAGATTAGTTTGAGTTTTAGAAATTTTTGCAGATGCAAATTAGAACAGCTTTAATTTGGTTTCAAAATGGAATTAAATTTTAGAGCAGGACATTCTTAAAGTCAACCCCTTCACTTTAGACATTAGGCGACTGAGGCTCAACCAGACCTTCCAACTTCTCTAATATCATCGAGCACACCAGAGAGCCAGCAGGAGCAGTGGAAAGCAAGCTCAGAGCAGCGGAGCCACGGGCCTGGGCACCAGCCACAACCTCACTTTCTAACCACAAAACCCTGGCAGAAAACTTGGCTAATCCTGTGACGCAGTCTCTACTTCCTCATTTTCAGACTGGGACAAAGATACATTCTACTGAAATGGATTTTAAATACACTCTGTGTTCAGGTTTAAAGAACAGTGGCGAGTACTACACATCGCTACTGACTGTACTGAAAACTTCAAATCTGACTCTAAGAAACAGGATGCCGTCAGTAACAAATGACTAATTTTATTATACAAGCAACTGAGCATGAAAATACATAATAGAAGAAACTAGACGGAGAGGTAGGAAAAGTGGGTAGCTGAAAGATGACACTTAATCACTGATGCTCAGGGGACTTGTCGGGCTTATTAAACGTATGCATATGTGTATAGATCTAGAACTGGAGCCTGATAAGTAGATACAGATATCAAACATTACGCTGACAATATTTTTCCAGACACAGGTTAATGTTCCTTGGTATCTCTTGGAATCATGGACTTGGAACACCGAGAAACAGTATCAGTAATTTTAGAAAATAAAACTATTTTAAACTAACTGCTGTAAGAAAGAGCACTGGAAGATTCGTATGGAAGTCACAAATTATATCTCCTTCAAGCTACACGGCGTGAACTACAGACTATCCAGAACTCTCTACCAAGCAATGCTACAGTGCTCATCCATGATTACCACATGCTTTCCTGTTAAACAGTGCATCTACAAGTACTGCTCAAAACTTTTTTTTAATCTAAGAGAAATCTAGGTGAAATATTAATCAATATTTATCACCTTAAGCATTGTAGTTTAGAGCAAGTACTTAGGAGACTGATAGGGGAGTTTGTTTACACAGTAATGATCTTGCATGTAAAATCTGAGGGACTGGACTGGAATCCTGTGTGAGTCTGGGCAGTTCCTTAACCTCTTGGGCTTCCGTTTTCCCCACAGAACAGAGATTACATGTACCACAAGGGATATGAGGGTCTCATGAGAATGTATACAATCCGCTTGCACAATGCCTGGCAATTCGGTAAGCGATCAATGATCAATAAATAATAAAACATTTTAAAGAGAGTTAGTTTTGGTTTTCCTGTGACATCGGTAAGGAAATCTTAATACATCCTGGAGTTGATAAAGGTAAAAACAGTGTTTGCAGATCATTAAATAGGACAAATATTTCCTTTAAAATGAAAAAAATCCTATATAATAAAAGGCTAATATGTTAAGTGTCGGCCTTCCATTCAACCAATCAAAGCATAATATGCTAATGATATGCTAAGGCCACTCAACCGCTCCATATGACGTGCACTGACCACCAGGGGGCAGACAGTGATCGGTCAACCAGTTACTATGACGTGCACTGACCACCAGGGGGCAAATGCTCTGACCAATAGGTTGGCTTGCTGTTGGGGTCCGGCTGATTGGGACTGACCAGACATGCCCTGGACCCTCCTGCAGTCCCTCCCAGCCCCGACTGTGCACCGCTGGGGTCCCTCGGCCTGGCCTGCGCCCTCTCGCAACCCAGGCTAAGGGCCCTCCCCCTCCCCCAGTGCATGAATTTCGTGCACTGGGCCTCTAGTATTAAAACAAGCTACTAAGCTAAGATCCAAATAAAAGTGAGCAAATTACAAAACTTTGTAAGTCACTGAGAAGAGAAAAGGCCTCTCTGTATCTTGTGTCTGTTCCTACAGAGTTCCTGTGTCTTGACTCCCTTTAAACCTACTTGTTAAGTGGCAGCTTCATGGACGAGGAGCCAGGGCGAATGTTTCCGCGCTGACCACCTCCTGCTTCAGCCGCCTCTGAATCCTTGAAGTAGGGAGATGTTGACTTGGGGTCGTCCCAGTCTTCATCCCAGTCATCATCATCACCAGTTGCTAAGGGTGGGCACCAAAGATGGTCAGTGAAGAAAAACAAAATAAAAAGGGAATGATTTAATTTTAGGATAAAAACTACCAACTGGGTTGACCAATTAAAAAAAAAGGAGAAAGGGTGTACTATAGGAGTATGAAGTAGACATGAAGAATATAGGCTCCGAAGTCAGTCATAAGGCTTGAAGTGTAGAGTCTGCCTTTTAGCTTCAAGAGGACTGTCACATTAATATGACGTTACTATAAAAAATGCTACATGGTACACAAGGAAAGGTCTTCTAGAGGCCCATACGTTGATAAATCTAGCGTTATAAACTCGCAAATAAGCAGATCAAACACCCTTAAAGTCAAGAAGATTGGGGAGGTCTGGCCAGTGTGGCTCAGTGGTTGAGTGTTGACTTATGAACAAGGAGGTCATGGTTTGATTCCCAGTCAGGGCACATGCCTGGGTTGTGGGCTTGGTCCCCAGCAGGGGGCATGCAGCTGATCAATGATTCTCTCATCATTGATGTTTCTATCTCTCTCTCTCTCTCTCCCTCTCTGAAATCGATTTATCTCTATATCTATCTATGTATGTATCTATTTATCTATCTACGATTGAGGAGGACAAAAGGTATAATAAAGCTCTTAAAAGAAATTATCACTAGTAACAATAAAGGTGAGAGAATTGTGATGAAGGGAGAAAGATGGAAAGGAACAGGGTGGGGATGGAGGAGAAAGGAAAGAGAAAAACGAGAGACAGGAAGTACAACCAGCACTAGCAGCCTAACACAGCAGTAGTCTGTGTGCCAGGTAAGGTGCTGCCAGCTCTCCTGCTCCCTTCCTCACCACGGTCTGCCTGTCTCCCACCTCTGGGGGCCTGAGGTATCCTTTTGCTATTAGGCAGGAAATGGGCCTGGCATCTCTGCCTTAAGAGCGCCACAACGAAGAGGCAAATGCCAAAACAGAGAAGAAAAGAACAGAAAGTATTGGAAGGATCTGGGCCAAGTTTCCTGGGGCCATGCCACGTTACTAAGAACTGCACATCAGCAGTCTGGTCTCAACATTTCTACTCAGCCCAAGACTCCCGGTCCTGCCAATAGCCCCGGTCCTTCTACGAGGGGGGCTGAGGACAAGCACCCGAGCCCTGGCTCCCGTGTGCAAGCCCCTCGCCAGTTAGCACATTCAATTCCTGGCACAATGTGCTCGTTTGGAATCATAAAAAATGATGAGCAGATTTTTATCTTATTTAATTTCAGAACCGACATAAATATCCTTCCTTAATTAAGTTTCCCGGTCTATAAATTCCTCTTTGCCTCAATATTTCCTTGATAGCCTGGGAGTCAAACAGGAAAGGCAGTTAAGGAAAAGGTGAAACAGCTGGTCAGAGATCATAGCCTGGCAGGTGATACACCATATTTCATCTGTATACACGTTTGTTTTTAGCCTAAGATTTAAAAGAAAATACATGTGTGTTAAATTCCAAGATTTTAAAGTGTTCTTTTGCTTTATGAACCTGGCCCCTGCAAACATGTGACTCCTTGACAGATAACTGAGAGTGGACTAATGATCATAATTAACAGCTACCCACAATAGACCCAGACTAACAGGTTTGCTATTACCGAATAGGAGCACTTGAGAGCAGCTCCTTGTATTTTTACTCCAATGCCCTAGTCCCCAGTGGAGCCCTCTTCCTCACCTGGTCCTTGGTAGGCCTGGGGATGTCCAAAGGGGGTGTCCCAGCTATTGGCAGTGTTTTTCTGGGCTGCAGTCCCCTCTGCCTTGGCTCCCCAGCCATCCGTGCTGTCCCAGTTTCCAGATTTGGAGGCACTCCAGGCTGACCAGGGGTCACTGCCACTGCTCACCTGTTGTTAGGGGTAAAAAAGGAGAAAGAATATTTGTGACTTCTAGAAAGCATTGCTCAATTCCGTAGGAATCACATAACAATTGAATACAATAGGAGTGCTGAAAGAAATCAGTAGAAATTTACAACAATTTTAAATTTAAATAAAAAATTGTAAACATGTCGGAAAGCACAAAAACAGCATCAACCGGATTTTATTGATGTTAACATTTTGCCTTTATTTGCTTAGGAACTTTACAACCAGCAACAAAGAAACTGCTTGACTAGCACCACACCCCCTCCATGTCTTCTTCCTTCCCCAGTAACTTCTTTTCTAACTGAAGTCATTCCTGTGTATGTTTATATGCTGCCACTGCATAGGTACACATTCATAAATGTTTTGTAGTTTCAAAACTGAGCTAAACAACATTATACTGTATGTATCTATTTGCAACTTGTTTATTTTTCACCTAACATTATGTTTTTGAGATTATACATGCTAATAATGAGGATGTTTTATTCACTTTAACTGGTTTAAAGCAATCAGTTGTATTTTCACTAGGCTTTTACCTTAATCTGAAAAAGTAATACATTCCCAGCAAAAAAAAATTTCAAACAGAATAAAAAGACATGGAGTTTTAAAATATGCCTACTGCCCTAGCAGGTTTGGCTCAGTGGAGAGAGCTTCGGCCCGAGGATGGAAGGGTCTCTGGTTCTATTCTGGTCAAGGGTACGTACCTCAGTTGCAGGCTCGATCCCCAGCCCCAGTGCGGAAGGCAACCAACCGATGTCTCTCTCTCATATCAGTGTCCTCCCTGCCCCCGCCCGCTCCCTTCCACTCTCTCTAAAATCAATGGGAAAAGATATCCTCGGGTGAGGATTAACATACATACACACCATGTTAAGATGCCGTCTTTCTCTTAAAGACAGCTACTAACAAATCCTTACCTACACTTGCTCAAACATCCCATGCACAGAGACCCTTTGTGCTTTTAAACATGTAAGTGAGCCCAGTGACACTCTCTGCTCTGCACGTTTGTTCCCCCACCTAAGAGCCTGAGACACTCTTTAAGGTGCGTCCACATCTGGGGGCCTCTTTCGTTACATGGCTCCAGGACTCCACTGCATTCACCCCCATAATGTAACCAGCACATGGCGATGCTCACTAACCTTGTTTTCAGTATTTTGTTCCTGTAAATAAGACTGCAATGCACATCCTTGTACATCCTTCCCACGTGTGCAACAGACCTTTGTGAAATCCCCAAAGAAACACTGCTGGGCTAAGGAGACTGTACGTTTAGAATCAATGGACTTTGTCAAATTGCGCTCCAAAGAGACTGCTGCCGTTATATCCCTAGACTACTGACATGCCAAGGAATTCTGTCTGGCATAAAGGTGGGCTACCACACCCCCAAATTATTTTAAAAACATTTCCTCCCATTATTCCTTTGAGTAGTTTAATTATTGTTGTAAATAACATTTTTGAACAGGCAACACATGGCACCCGACTGCAAGGAACATGGCAGTAAGAGGCCTATAGCCTCCCTCTCACCCCTTCTGTACCACCTGTGAGTCAAACACGCATGTTTTCGATTTTGTTTCCTTGATTTAAAAATTTAAATCTTTAATCTGTCTGGAACTTACTTCAGTATAAGGAATAATATAGTAATCCAGCTTAATTTTTCTTGTAGTCTGTCTGTTGCCCTATCATTTAATGATCCATCTCCCCCCACTGATCTGAAATGTCCCCTCCATCACATACTCGACTGGGACCCATTTCTAGGCTCTCTACTGTATCCTACCAACCATCTGTACTAGTACCAAGCTACTCTAAAGCCCACTAGATAGAATACCATTAGTATTTTAGTATAGCATTTTTTATCAATTTATTTTTAAACAAACTTTTTCATCAGCTTAATATTTTAAACCTAAAACAATGTGAACTTTAGCACTAGAGTGTCAACATTTTAAAAAATGCCTTGATTTTCATTTCAATCACGTTAAATTTATAGATAAATTCAGGGAAAAGAAGTAATGCCTTAAAAAACAACAACACAATTTTAATGTTGAATCTGTTTATCCAAGAACATGGAATAGCAATATCTCCCCTTCACTGGAGTCTTTTTTCCCACATGAAAAAAAAAATTGGTGTTGGGGGCAGTGGGGGGAGGGGGAGAGATAGAGATAGAGATATATAGATATTTACAAGAAAATTTCCCAAACTGTTTAATATACCTTTTTAATGTTTTAGAACCCTATAATGTTGGTCTTTGTTTACTCTTCACTGACTGAGAGATGGGATGGGTAATTGGCTGCCACATACCAGAAACATAAAAAGCAGAATATGTTTTACATATGGAGTTATGATTTCTGAAATTACTAGTGATTCTGCTCTAAGGTAAATATTAAGAGCAGAAAGCCATTTCATTCACATGACTGTGAATTTCTCCACTACCTGGCTCACAAGGTAAAACTTTCCAGCTACTCTAGTGGAGACTGGAAATAAAGGCAGACACTGAGGGCGGCACAGTTAGGAACACAGCTTCCCTCCAGTCAGGCTGCGGGGGCACAATCCTGGCTGTCCCTCTCCAGCTGGGCAGCCTCAGCTAGAATCTGAACCCAGACAGCCTGCCTCGGGTTTTGAAAGACTGACAGAGCCTCAGTGAAATGAACTGCGAAGGAGCAGAGGGTTATAAATAAAGCAACAGGAAGGCAGGAGCCCAGCACTGCCATGATGATGAGACTGTAAGTGTCAGCAAAGTGTCAAAGAAAGACTTTCATCAATACTGGAGAAAACAGAATGTGACCTATTCATAGCAAGTATCCTAAAAGATTTAAAATTTAGGACAGAAACATATAACATGATAATTCTCTTTAAAACCACTTTCTTCACAAAATGCTTATAATAATTGCTACATTATTTGGTTATGTATATGATCTTAGCTCTCTATCTAGAGTATAAAATCCCTGTAGGCAAATCTAGTAATGGGTTGCTTCTCTCTCTGTCTTTTGTTATTTTTCCTGGAACTTTTTATCTTGTTTCAAACTTTCCAAACCAGAAATCTCTCCAGCTTCTCTTCTGAAATCGTTACTGGCTCTCCTCTCTCTCTCCTCTCTCTCTCTTGCTCTTTCTCTTTCTCTTTCTCTCTCTCTCTCTGATGACCTTTTACTGACTTCCAGAACCCTCTTCTAATATCAATACTGAAAATCAGCTCACACAGTCTGTCTAGTCCTGACCTCTCTGAGCCCACCGTTCTTACTCCTTTGCTTTCAACCCCCCATCCCCGTGGTTCTCAGCTGCAGGCGTCTGGTCACACACTAACCCATTCTGCTCCTCCCTACAGTTTCAACTCTGAAGTGCCTCTTCTCTACCTTCTTCAGCTTTCCTTCCTCTCCTTTCTCCCCAGCAGTGTCTTCATCCTCTCCTTTAACCTCTTTATGGTACCAAACCCTTCCTGGCTCTCAACCACATGTCATTAAAAACCCTTCATTAGGAGAAACGAAGATGGCGGCATAGGTTAAAGCCGGAGTTTGCTGCCTTGAACAACCACTTCAAAAATACAACTAAAAGACGGAATGGACATCATCCAGAACCACAGGAAGGCTGGCTGAGTGGAAGTTCTACAACTAGGAGGAAAGAGAACAGCATACCAAGACTCAGAGGAGGCGCAGTGCTGAAGTCAAATACTAAGGTGCGGAGTGCATGCGGAGTGGGCTGGCGGCTGAGGGCGCGGTTGTCTGTTTCAAAAAAAAGAAAAAGAACAAGAAAAAAAGGAGGGGGTGG